TATCTGTTGTTAGCATTTAGTGTCTGGAGTACTCTGACTTTCTACTAGGGCCCCCACATGCTACAAAACTGAGAAGCATTTAAAATAAAAAAGGGAGTGGGGAGGAGGGAAGGCAAGGAAAGAGCATATATATGACAGCGTATGCATGTTCAGGAGAGGGGAAAAGGGATGAAATGCATCTTCTCACCTTGGACTTGACCTATGGCCTTTAAAGTCAACAGGAAGACGTCCAGTGGGAACTTAGAAAAAAAACAAACCCTTTCATTTCTAACACTTGCTTTGATGGAAGGAGAATGGGACAGATGGCTGTGGTTTAGACTCCTTTTACTTGTGAAAACCTCAGCTAGAGGTTGTTTAACCAACCCAGTGTTTTTGACTCCACAAGACCACTGCCCAGCTGAAACCAATTCTGCTTAGTGCATGGGAAAGCCTCAAAAAAAATTGAAGGGAAGGGCAATGCCATTAGGTCCATGCAATTTCAGCATTGTATCTCATAGTCATAGAAAGACAGGGCTGGAAGCAATGGTGGCCTTAGGGGTGTTGGGGCCCTGGGCAAAAGAGTCATTTGGGGCCTCTTAGAGGCTTAATTTTGATGACCTGTAAGCGAGTCGGACAATTTCAATTTCACTTTGCCCTATCCATAACACTGCAACATAAGTATATTAATACAATATTGATAATACAAATATTTTGTGTAATTGATTTTTAAAGTGTGGGGCCCCAGTGGTCACCCAGTTTGCCCTCCCTTAAGGCCACTACTGCTGGAAGGAACCTCCAGAGGTCATCTAGTCCAGCCCCCTGGCCTGAAACAGGAATGGATCATCCCTATCCCAACCATCTCATACAACCCTAATCTAAATTCTATAAAAGAGTACCGTCAGCCCTGACTCAGCATAGACCTCACACCCTAACCTGCCACAGGTAAAGCAGGGGAGCCACAGTCAATGTCCTGCTCCTATGAAATTCTGTCAGTATATGCTCAAGAGGTCCCCAGTAAATGGCCATACCCCCTGCTACAGAGAAAGGCAAACCCCCCCCAAATCTGGGTGAAAATTCTTTCCTGACCCCATATATGACTTTCAGTTTGACCCTGAGCAGATGGGCAAGGCCCTTTAGCCAAGAACCTTCAGCTTTGCTCCCAGCAGGAGCACTGGTACACCCCAATCAGAGTCCACAGCCTCAGCTGTAGCCGATACCCAATGCCTCTGGGAACCCTGTAAAATCACTAGTGATTCTCAACCAAAGTGTCCAGGCACCCTGGGGTGCTGCCAGATTCTTTGAAGGGTGCTGTGAAGTGTGAAGAGGTAAGCAGATAAGCTAAATAAATAAATTCAGTCTCAGGCTTGTCCCCACATGATCAACCTCCACCCCCACTGACCAATGCCTTTACAAAAAGGTAAGCACTTGTAATACATAAGTGTGTTTCTGAAGCTGGGTGCCACCCAATTCACAGAAGTTATGAAGGGGTGCCTTGAGTCCCGTGAGGGGTCCCTCAAATCCACAACGGTTGAGAAACAAGTCCTATCTCGGACTCCATCACACCTACCTTTCAAATAACCATTTGTGGGACATTTACTGTTTGGGATGTGCAGGCAGAGTGCTTTTTAGTCCACCAGCCGTACCAAGAAATTAAACGCTAGCACCAGTGCTGCTCTGCAGTGAGTCAAGAAAGTAAACAAGATTTCTAGTATGTAAATGAGCTTCTGCTCTCTGTCACGCACCTTCCATTTTATCCAGTGCAAACAGAAAGAATCCCCTTAGTGCAGAGGTTTCTCAGCGTCAGCTCAGCTACAAACTTGACTTACTGGATTCTTTCTGTTCACCTGTCTCACTCTCCCACATTGTATTGCAGTCTTAATAGAATTCCAACGCAGTCCCAGGCAAGCCTCAGTGCCAGACTTCTTGCTGTCAGTCAAAAGTGGTCAGATAAGAGGCGACATTTGCATATGCATTCACCAGCTTTTCCAAAAGCACATTCAGTCATATGGCCTTCACTGAATACTGATGCTATCCAAGGACGAAAACTACTTAAGTCATTTTACAGCCCTGCTACCTAACTGGCCAGATCAGGCTTATTTGCATCTCACCAAGGATTATTAGTTTGAAGAGTATTGATTACATCTGCCCCATTAGCAGCTATTAAGCTAAGCAAGATCCCAGCGAGAAGTTTGTCAGGATTTGCCCCACGGGACCACCTTGCACATCTCAAACCACAAAAAACCCAAGGGACTAATGCAGCTGTGTATTCTCGCTCGCTCTCTCTGGGAGCTAGAGCTCCATTTTCTCCTAGGTGGTTACTTTCACATACAGAAATGGAAGCTTAATTGCAACAGACTGAGTTTCCTTGAAATAATCCTATCAGGGCAAAGTTCCTCACACACATGCCCTGTGGGAGAGAGCAATGCTTCTGTCCTCTAAACCCATTGTTTCCTCATCCTTCCTATTGCCAAGCATATCCTGAGAGAACTGCTTCAGGTCAAAGGTATCCATGTTATGGCCACTTGCTTCTGCAATGCATTCAGCATTTTATACCTCTTTAGCAGTATCATCTTGCAGAGCTGGATGGATTTCCTCATCCACAGGCAGAGAGAGAACCCAGGCAAGTTACTTCACAAGCTGCAGTCACTTGTGTCAATCTTCCTGGCAAGAGAAGGGTTGGGCAGGGCACTCCCATCCTGCAATATGTGTCACTTAATGGCAAGTTGGAGGGAACAGATGCATAGGGGAAAGTTGGCATGGAAAGGTAACATTCCTCAATCCCACACCCATGCCCCACTGGCCCAGCAAGTGTAGGCTCTCTCCTCTCTGCAAAAGCAAAAGGAGGCAACTGCCTGTTTTTCTGCAGCGCCCTTGGGATCTAAGCAGTAACATCAGGGCATTCCAACAAAAACACGTGCTTATGCAGGGCATTAGCAAGCAATCTAATTTACAAAAATATACCTGGTTAATGTGAATGAGACAAACTCAGCCCTGAGGTCATTCTATTGAAGTCAGTAGAGAGACACCTATGGGAATTTGGCTTGGGGTATGAAAAAGAGCTTTCTGAGGTTCTCTCTCTCCACAAAACAGAAATTTAGTATTAAACATTGCCAAATGCACATCAGACAAAGCATCTCAAATGTAAGCAGCAAAACTTCATTAAATAAGATCCAAACACCTGCTTCAAAAGCCTAGGTAGTAGCACACATTTACAAACTGATTCAGACTCAGGACTGAAGGATAGGAAGGGAAGAAAAATATTTCAAGAAACTGCGTATGTCCCGCGATTCCTGATGGCAGCACCAGACTCTAAATCACTATATCCTCGCCTGGGTTAAGTGTGCTCTGTTCAGCTGTCCTAGGGGAAACAGATTTTGCAAGGGAAGACAGAGAGGGGTGAGGCAGTTAAAGCAAGCAGCGCTCAGGGATCAAGTTGGTAAGTGCTGAGTGGCTGCAGAGCCCACTCACATGTCCCTCCTGAGGCTTCCAAGTGCATAACCAGTGCCTGAGGGTAAGGGGCTGTGTCCTCTGCTCCCCCCAGAGGGGCCACGACTCCTTCCAGCTGAGGGCTCAGTGACTTGGGAACTCTGCCAGGCCACCCTGTGCTCCATGGTACGGTTCTTGCTACAGGACGATCCCTTGCTCTCTTTGAACACAATATTCTTGCATTTGGAATGTGGTGAAGTTGATCGTGTCAGCACCCCCCTTTCTTCTGCAACACGTCACTCAAGCCTGACTGTCACAAGCAGGCAGTACTGAGGCTGAAGTTTCCAGGCATGGAGAAGGGAGCTGCTGTAGCATGCACCCCACTTACTAGAGAACATCCAAATCAGACAGAATATCCTGGATGTAAAGAAGTTTGAGGAAGCTAAAAATGGCTGAGCGATATACAGAAAATTAAGCAGAAGCATGATTTCTTATCATTTCATCTCATAAAAATTGCTCCCTTTGGAAGTTCTTCAAGTCTAAATGTGAAATCTTTTTGGTTTCCAAAATACTTCCCCGCTTCCTGCTCCCCCCACCACCAACATATTACAGTTCTGAAGTCAATTCAGGATGGACTGAACTTCGATCATAAATCCCCAGCTGAACAGAAACTTTCCCTGAATGAGAACAGCAGAAAGAGGCCTGTCACAGCTCTACAGCAGGATTGTTCCATCCTGACCATGTTTATGTTTTATAAAAAACAATCCTGTCCTCACAAGCAGCTCTGCTTCAGAGGAGGGCAGTGCCAATCCCCGTGCACTGAATGCCCTGCTTAGCTTCTAAGCATTGTTCAGTTGGACACAGACAGATCGTCTGCCAGTAAAAGCCCCATGGAACTAACAGGTGATGGTTTTATCCATTATCGGGCGGATAAGGATTTAGACCACTGTTTCCAACAGCCCAAACTCTGCTTTTTATCAAACTCAACCGACCAGCAAGCAAACAGCTAAAGATAAAACAAGCACTAAAGGGTGGGGGTATATGGGTTAGGAATCAATGTTTTAGTCCAGAAAAAAAAAGAGTTAAGTTGTCTGTCAGGATTTAAAATAAAAACATGCATCCCACAGCCCCAGTCATAAATAATGCACCCAATGAGCATTTAAACACCAGTATAACTCATCAGAAGAACTCTGCTTTGCACTAGTCATCAGATTAACAGGTTTCATAAAACCACAGATAAGCACAGGGGGGTGCAGCTCCATATTTCCCAGAAGGGCAATTATCTCTTATTCTAATACTGCCGCTGCTTATCATAAATGATGACATGCATTCCTATGGCACTGCCTGTCTCAAAGCACTGTCCAAACGTTCATAAACTACACCTTACAACACTCCCTTGAGGCAGATATCATTTACTCCTGTTTTATGGAGTCACAGAGAGGTGAAAGTTGCTTGCCAAGGAAACTAGTGGCAGAGGTAAGGAAAGAACCTGAGAGTCAACCTGCACCTGACTCTCAGTCCCATAAACACTAGCGACTGCTTCCTCCTCTATAGCAGGGAAGCAGAGATGTAGTAGGAAAGAGGAACAGACTTACCATTGAGGCCATTGGGGATACTCCTGTGGTGAAGAGGTGCAGACAAATCGTCCATAGATCTCCTTATGGCTCCGGCTTTGTTGTCGACGGGTTTGTGATGGTTGAGGTGATGGTGGTGGTGATCTGGGCTCCCTGCACTGCCAGTGCTCGAGGTGCTACTGCCATCCCCCACATCCCTGGTGCCAGAGCCCCCATTCAAATTGGTCAAACTGGCCTGGCTGTCTATGGAGCTCCTGGAGCCAGCTCCATTTCTCTCTTCGTCTAACATGAGGACTATCTCCTTCAGCTCCATGTTCTCCCTCATGAGGGACTCCTGCTTTGCCTCCAGCTCCTTCAGCTTCTGCTGATACACCCCAACTTCCTTCCACATCACGCTGGCCGTGTGCCGCCCAAACCTCTGCCATTCCCTGGACAGCTTCTTGCCCTTCTGCCGATCATCATCCAAGAAGCAGCAGAGCTCTCTCAGTTCGTGGTTGTCATCCTGCAGTTTCTGGTTGACCTCCTTCAGCCCCCTGATCTCATGCAGGTGAACCTGCAGCCTCCGGTTCACATCCTTCATTAAGTTGCCGTGCTCCACCATCAGGTTCATTTTCTCATTCTCGACTTTCCGCAGCCTTTTCACCAGCTCTTCCTTGCTCCATCTCATCAATTCCTCCTCAGATATTTTGCTCAAGTCTTCTTTCGACTCCTCCAAGGAAATTTTGGCCATGTTCCTGTCTAGAGCAGCGTCCGTTTGCAAGGAAAAAAAAAAATCCGATTTTCCCCCTGGGGACTTAGTGAAAAAAAAAAAAATATTTGTATGTATGTTTTGGGGGAAGAAATATTACAGCTCTTCTAAGCGGACCAGGCAGACAAGGCCAGCACATCCAAACCAGACTGGTCCCCCCACGGCCCCCATGTCAAAACCAGCAAACAATGGATTAAAAAAGAAACGCAAGGAGAGGGGAATTGGGGTGCAAGTGTGCCAAGTGAATGGATGCACTCCCCCTGGGCGCACCCCCAGCCTCTGCCTTTCACTTGTTCGCCCGCACCCCTCCCCTCCAGCGCCGGCAATGCAAAGGGGAGCAGGAACTGCGGATAAAAGCGCAGCCCAGCTCCAGGCACCCAGGGAGGCTGAACAGCTGCTGATGCAGGAGAGGGAGAGAAACCTGCCCCTGCGCTCCCGGATGATGTCAATGCCTTTGTACCCGGCGGGCGGCCGGGCGGGCGGCGAGGGAGTCTGGCGGCGGCGCGGGCGATGGCCGCACG